CCTTCAATTGCACCGAGTTTCTCTTCTAGGGTCTCTTGCACGCTTTGTCTTTGAGCATATAACTTCTCCAAATCCCATCTGGGTCTGCGCTTTCGAAATCTTATAATTTTCTTCAACCTGGTTCAGAACTTGGCAACCAGTAAGTTGTGGTCAGAGTCAATATCTGCCCCAGGAAGCATCTTCACATCCTTCCTTTCTGAATCGATGTTTCACAAGGATGTAGTCCAGCTGATGCCTCCTCCAATCCCCAGGTGCCTTCCATGTGTAAATTCTTCTCTTTGGCTTCTTGAAGCAAGTGTTGGTAACAATCAGTCCATTTCGTTCACAAAAGTCAATAAGCATTTGACCCCGTGATATCCCCCGATAATTACTACAGTCAGTTTTATCACCCTTCTTGTAAACTGGTACAATAATAGACTCCTTCCACTGATCAGGCAATTTTTCCTTATGCCAAATAGAAGTAATTAGATTGTGGATCTTAGAACGTAATATTTCGCTCCGTTTGAATAAGTTCTGCCGGAATTTGATCACTACCTGGCGAACTATACTGTTTAAATTTTGCAATAGCACTTTCAAACTCGAAACGGCTAGGATCAGGTATTAACGGCTCATCTGTATCAATTTCTGTCTGCCTAACATCACTGACCCTATGTACATTCAATAACTGAGAGAAGTAGTTCCTCCACCTATTCAGAATGTTGTGGGAATCTGCAAGCAGATCACCATTCTCATCCTTCACTAAGTTACTACTAGGCTGGTAACCCCTTTTAAAGTCATTTATTCCTCTATACAGGTCTCTAATATTCTTCTTCTTACTATTCATTGGAAGCTCATCCAATTTGTATTTCAGATATTCTTTTTTTTTCTCTCTCTCTCCTGAAATGCCTGCTGGTTTTATGTCATATATTGTTCAGATTATCCCCTTATTTCGCTTGGATCGTGTAACCACTGCAATTTGGCTTGTTTCTTGTGGTCTAACAATTCTATGCATCCTTCATCAAACCATGGCTTATGCTTCTTCAGTTCATAATAACTTAAGACTCTCTTTGGCAGAAAATTTCATATTCTCTCTAACAGTATCTCACAAGCGGCCTCCATAGTCTAGAGGTAACGTTCCCACCTCATGACTCATAGTACGCGGGTTCAAATACCCGGTGGAGGTCGTCGAATTTTTAAAGGCGGAAAAATTCAGGGAACAGGTCCTCCGGGAGGGACTTTAAGCCGTGGGTCCCGTGTCGTAGCTTTACGGCATGTAAAAGAACACACAAGACACAAGAATTTCCACAAAGATGGTGTCTCGAATCCTGACAGATCACTAGAAACGTCAACTTCACATTTCATCTGATCTTTTACATAATGCAGACATATTTGATAAGGTCATTACCAGTGATGAAACATAGTGCTTTAAATATGACCTGGAAACAATAAGCCAGAGCACGCAGTGGAAAACAAAGAATTCACCTTGGCCCAAAAAAAGCAGACACATCTTGCTTGCAGTTCAAGACAATGCTCATGTGTCTCTTCAATCACAAGGGGATAGCTCACTATGAATTCATTGCACAAGCACAAACAGTGAATCAACAGTGTTTTTTGAAGTGCTGACAAAGTTATAGGAGTATGTTCAGAGGAAAAGACCCAAACTCTGACCTGACAAATGGATTCTCATCCATGACAATGCCCCTGTACATGATGCAAGAGTTCGAGAGTTCCTGGGTAAGAAATCCATTACAAAAACAGACCATCCCCTTTATTTGCCCGACTTAGCCCCGGCGAGTTTTGGCCTTTCCAAAATAAAAATTTGCCTGAAAGGACAAAGATTTGCTGACATCCCTGACATCCAATGCAATGTGACAATGTGAGGTATTCCAGAAAATGAGTTTCAAGACTGTCTCTGGTAGTGGCACCATCATCTCACGAAGTGCACAGTTTCAAAAGGAGAGTATTTCGAAGGCGACAGCAGCCGCTAGTGCACAAGCAAGCAAATTCTGCCTTCACAGGGCCATTCCAGGAATTAAACTGTCCTACCCTCTAGATTTTAATAACATCCACCTCCTCCTTCTGATATCATTTTCATTTCATACAGATCAACAAACAAGAAGTCTCAAAACTAATTTCATCTTATATTCTTTCCACCTCAATTTCTTGCCAGTTCTCTCTTCCCATCTTCATTTTTACCAGTCCTCGCCAAATAATCTTGTTGTAGGTTGTCCCACAGGTATCATTCTTCAAATTTTACTCCTAATGCCCTTCACGGTATCCCTGTTCTATCTATTCTTTTTACATGGCCAAACTACTGCAATAATTTTCCTTCTAACTCTAACAAATTCTAAATTCCAACATTTTCTCTAAAAATTCCATTTCTTGTTTTTTCCCTTAGTATTTTACAAAGCTATCATACCTACTGTTTTATTTTGCTTTTGATTCACTTTGTAAGAGTCCATGTTTTTGCATTATAAGTTAGTATCGGTTTGACATATACTTTACAGATTGTTGTTCCGCATTTGGGGATGTCTGTTCGATAATACTCCTTTTACAATTTGATACTATTTACAACTATACTGTATTCTTCTACTAACCTCTCCATCAATTTTTCTTTCTGAATTTATTTCACTTGCCAAATGAATAAGTTTATTCACTTGTTTAACTGTTGTCTTAATTTTATTCTGATGTGTGTATAGGCACCTTAAAATCTCATGGTCACCACCTTCTCCACATTTCTTTATATTGTTTCAGTAATTTAGTTTCTCTTCAATCTCCTTTTTGTCTTTATGCCAAATAATTTGCAAATTCTCTCTGTATACCATTATATAAAAGGCAAGGCTGTCAATGGACTTAATTAATTAAGCACCACACCATGATGGCGCTTGAGGAGTGGAGAAATAGCTCCACCATTTTTGACCTCAGAACTAGATGGAGATAAGTGGTCTGCTTCACGCTCTGCCCACTTTACTCACGAGGAAAGTCACCAGTACCGACTGGATAGGAGGCAGGGTGGGCCCCAGAGCCCTTCTGCATGCTGTGAAGAAGAGAAAAATCTCTTGCTCCTGCCAGGAACTGAAGATCAACCATCCAGACCTTAGCATATTACTATACCAACTATAGCTATCTCAGCTCCATTTATATTGCCATATGACTTTTCAAAATATATAAACACAATTATTCTATTTTTGGAAATACCCAATGTTTCTTAACTGTAAAGGTCATATCTGTCACTGCATGTTGCTCCTTACTATGTGCTGCTTTTATCATTTTTTGTATTCTATTAGTTAAAATTGTTCTGTAAATTTTGTGATAGTGACAGAAAAGTGTTATTTCTCCGTAACTATTAGAGCTCCTTACTGCTTTTCTTATACATCAGCCCTGCCACTCCCTTCTTCCACTCAAACTCAATTTCGCATGGCTGCAAAATCCAACATATACAAGTAATTCCCTTTATCCAATGCACTACTAGTCCTACAGTGGTTACCATTTCTATTGTCACTGCATCACATCACAGGATTTTGTTAGTTTTCATTTTTGCAATGACAACAATATCTACATTTTGCACTACATACATGTTTTTTACAATTAACAATTTTTTAGAAAATTTATAAAATCATTATGAAAGTTGGTTTGGCTTCATGTTAAGTAGGGATTACAGTGGGCTGATACAAACCAAAAAGAAATTTGTTCTAGTCCTCTGAAAGTAGACTCCTCCCTACAAAACCAAAATTTTAATAGATATGGATTCAAAATCTGAAGATATACATGGCCTCCTTATTACATGATCAGCCTACAGGCTTCATGCAAAGAACAAATAAAAAGGCCATACACAGCCACAAATACTATCATGCCTCATGCCTTTAAACTCACTCACACAATAACACACACAAGCTGAGTGCAACCAACTCTGACACATTTGGGCAGCCTGCGCTCCTCATACTGATCACCTGGAAACAAAACAATTTTCATTCACCATAACCCACTTACCATGGGCTTTAGTGTCTCTGGTGCACCTTTCACTGTTGTAATGTATGTTGTGTCAGTACTGCCTGGGAGTGTGTAGCCTGCAATTACAGACATTCTCTTCAGAGCAGAAGAGAAGTGATGTCGATGGAAGATTTTCATCCCAGGGGCTTTACCTCTTTTTGGTATTACTGCATCACCTTTAGTAAGATTCCAGTCAACAGCTGTGAGAGTTGCTTTTTCCAAGGGATCACCCACAAGCCCATCATCTAGTTGAGCCAGAGCATGGCATGTTGCTAGGACTTGGATGCTCTCCAAAGATGTTTCTGACAGAGGTATCACACCTTGTTGGCTGCTGAAAATTATGTCCACATAATCAAACCATCCCAAAATATGTCTCTCAAAACAGGCCTTCCCAGATATACACGACAGTCTTGGGTAATTACCAAATAAAATTCAATGACAGTGCTGATATGTACATATCAGTAAAGACTAGCAGTACTGGAAATATACTGTCAAATGTATGAGTGACTACAGATGGGGTTTGGATTGGTAATTGGATTTATTTAACACTAACAGACACACCTCATAACTACAAGTAACTGTATCATTATTGGTAATTCACTACAGCACACAACTTAAAGTCTTCTCACTCTCCTGTGTCTTCACCAGCTTTCTGGTAATGGCTTCCACTGGCAGACGTTCCTTTTCTTCTGGGTTCCCAAACTGTCTCCATGCCCCAGCTTCCAGCTTCTAAGAACAACAGCTCACAAGGACCGAGCGGCATCAGTGCTCTAACTCACTCGCCAAATCACTCCACTCCACTGACTTCCAGGTGTGAGGCCATCTCACACCAACCTCCTACTTTGGCCACGCCATAACCCAAGCAGTTAGTCGCTGGCTTCCCAAAGCGGCGGCCTGGGTTCCATCCCGGGTCTGGTCAAGTGGGATTTGTGGTGGACAAAGTGGCACTGGGGCAGGTTTTCTCCGAGTACTTCGGTTTCCCCTGCCAATCTTCATTCCACCAACTGCTCCACAATTACCCTCACCTATCATCTGGGGCTGGTACAATAGGCCAGAAGTGGCCGCAGTACAAGGGACTTAGTCCCAGCCCACTAGCATAAAAGGAAACCTCCTACTCTTCTCACTGCAGTCTCAAGACTCACTTCTAATCAAGTCAAAGTCAAAGTCACATTGCGAATTATGGTCAGTCAGTAAGTCTTGGTGCTGAATATTTTTTACTGTTTGACAGTTACGGTCTTGTTTTTTGTGGGGCACCCTCTCTGACAATAGGATGGGTCTGTCTTTTGTATATGCTGCTGGTCCCTGCCAGCACAGTCTTTCTCAAGTCCGAGTCCCTTGGTACTTGCGACCATGTATTACTGTCTCATATCTGAGACTACACTTTTCATCGCCTCCTACAACTCACAGGGTCACAGTGGAGGCATTTGACCCTGCCTCCACATGGGCGATCCACTGGCTATTGTTATATAGCCTTGGCACAGACTGCACAGAGAACATAACTTCCAACAGTTCTTCTACTGTTGCAGGAACGTCTGTTGTGTTCACTACCTAGCAATGGCTGTTGTTTACAGAGCCATTACTTAACAGTGGCTATTGTACAGCTACTCATTTCACGGTCACTGCCTATTAAGAGCTATACGTGCCACAGTGTTTTGAAATACACCATACAACTTAAAAAAACACACCAGTATTCCAGTGATGCAAAATTGAACACCACATTTTATTTCACAAAAGCATACTACTAAATATTCCTCCCCTTGGCTCACAGTAGCATAGTTGGCTGAAGCACTATGCTACAAGCCAGAAGGTTGGGGGTTCAATTCCTGATGAGGTCACTGGATTTTTCAATTGACCAAATTCTTCCAGCCGCACTATGGCCCTGGGGTCAACCCAGCCTCTAACAGAAATGAGTATCAGGAATCTTCCAGGGGTGAAGGGTAGATGACTCATAAGGCTGACAACCTCACTGCCAACTGTGAACCGACGGTCTAGAAAAAGTAGGAGCCTCGACATCTCACAACCCTATGGGCCTCCATGGTCTGTTACATGAATAGACTTACCTTACCCCTGGCTACTACGTTAACATGGTGTGGAGGTTTGCATGCTCTGATCACTTGGACAGCTGTGCTAGCAAGACAGAGGTAAAGACCAGACAAAAAGTAGCGTCCAGTTATTCAGGATGGGGGTTTCATGTGAGGATAACAACCTAACCTTATAAAATAACATGTTTTGGGGACTTTAATTGTTTCTTGCATCATGTTGTATATTTAATCAATATTAGAGTCAATTTTACTGACCACACAACATATTTTTATTATTATTACACTACATGTTTCGACCTCAAGAGGTCATCCTCAGGTGTACGAACACAGCCGTATAATTAAACGCAATCACATTCGTCTTCTCACTTATTCGATCCTGTATCTTATTCAGGCTCACGCTCAATAATATATCAAGCTCTCTCATAAAACACAAGTTAAAATTGTTCTAAATGTCAAAAGTTAAATTTAAATTTAAAATTTTTAAAAGATTTAAAGTTTGTGAATCAAATTTCAATTCAGGTCACTAGTTATGCTTTCGCTTTCACTTGTATTCAGTCACTTCCTTCTTAACGTTCATCACTGCGTCAAGTTCACTTTAACTACTTTAATTATATCATTGATTAAACGTTCATGAATTAAAGTTCAATTTTATTACAGATTGCACTTTTTCACTTTTGGAGGTCTTGCTGTTCTACTGCGTCTTCTGAAGTTGTGGATCTGTTACGGTCCATGTCGTGATGGCTACTGATGTGTCTTACTTGTTCGGTTGGTTCCTGTAGGGTATTAGTGGTGGTGGTGGGGGGGCGGGTGCGGGTAGGGGTGGTGTTCTGAGAAGGTAAGTAGGTGGTTTTGGGATATATTATATTTGTTGTGTCTGATTTGTTTTTATTAGGATATCATAAATTGGGTTGTAACTATCAGTTAAAGCTTCGTTCATTTGTAGGTTTTGCTTATTTAATTCATATATGTGGAAGCTTTCTAGTGTGTTCAGCATTTTTCCTTTCTTTTCTATGTGGAGTATTTCCATTGCTTTGTCTATGGTATGGTAATTGTGCGTTGTGTCCACTATATGTTGGGCGAATTTTGATTTCTGCCCGTTCGTTTTTATTTCCCTGATGTGTTCTTTATATCTTGTTCGGAAATTACGTCCTGTTTGGCCGACATACTTTAGGTCACAATCTTTACAATTCATCTGGTATACTCCACAAAGGTTGTATTTATGTCGTTTCGTGTTTTGTTCTTAGAATCTTTTTTATTGTATTATTTGTCTTGAAAGCTATTTTTATGTTGGTATTACGAAATAGCTTACTGATTCTTCTAATGCTGTGGACGAAGTATGTAAATTTGATCCATTTATCCTTCTGTGGAGTGTTTTTATTAGGTGGTTTCGTATTATGCTCTCTCGTATATGGTGAGTATTCATTATTTACAAGTATACGAGTTATAATACCTTCTTCCTTTATTTTTCCTTCGTTGGTGAGCTTGTATGTATTTATTCGATTGCAAAGGTAGTTGATAGCTGCCTTTTTATGTTCGTATGGATGACATGAAGAATTATGTAGTATGAGGTCGGTAGATGTAGGCTTCCTGTATATTTCAAATTTTAGTTCGTTGTCACGATTGTTAGGTCCAAATAATTTAGTTTATTTTGGGATTGTTGTTCCATTTTGAACTTAAGTTTGTGGTGCATTGTATTAAATTCATTTAAGGTGTTAAAGATATTTGTTTTTTGTGTATTGTAGATTATTAATATATCATCTACATATCTATAATAATCCATGAACGATACTACACACAGAACGAAGGATTAGCAATGGGAGCACCAACATCAGCCATCCTATCCGAAGTGTTCTTACAATATCTGGAACACACGCTAATTGCTGACATTCTAAAGAAACATGAAATTATTGATTATTATTTTATTATATAAAGAACACATCAGGGAAATAAAAACGAACGGGCAGAAATCAAAATTCGCCCAACATATAGTGGACACAACGCACAATTACCATACCATAGACAAAGCAATGGAAATACTCCACATAGAAAAGAAAGGAAAAATGCTGAACACACTAGAAAGCTTCCACATATATGAATTAAATAAGCAAAACCTACAAATGAACGAAGCTTTAACTGATAGTTACAACCCAATTTATGATATCCTAATAAAAACAAATCAGACACAACAAATATAATATATCCCAAAACCACCTACTTACCTTCTCAGAACACCACCCCTACCCGCACCCGCCCCCCCACCACCACCACTAATACCCTACAGGAACCAACCGAACAAGTAAGACACATCAGTAGCCATCACGACATGGACCGTAACAGATCCACAACTTCAGAAGACGCAGTAGAACAGCAAGACCTCCAAAAGTGAAAAAGTGCAATCTGTATTATTGAGCGTGAGCCTGAATAAGATACAGGATCGAATAAGTGAGAAGACGAATGTGATTGCGTTTAATTATACGGCTGTGTTCGTACACCTGAGGATGACCTCTTGAGGTCGAAACATGTAGTGTAATAATAATAAAAATATGTTGTGTGGTCAGTAAAATTGACTCTAATATTGATGTTTTGGGGAACCTAACAACAGATGTTAGTTCAGGCACATAATCACAATGCATCAAAGGAAGGCAGTGAAGAAAATTTTTCGAAGTCAACTAGAAGGCAGAAGAAAAGAATTAAGACATAGATTCAGATGGTTGAAGAGAGAATAATGTGCATGTCATAAAAGAGGCCATGGTTCTTGGAGGACTATAGGAAATAATATAAACAGATGTTCTGAAAAGTTACTGTAAATTACTGAACATGATAATTAAATATTCAGAGTCTAGAACTTACTCAAGGCCTGCAATTCCTTCCACAACAAGGTTGTCACTTGTAAGTGTTCCTGTTTTATCAAAACAACAGATTTCCACCTTTCCAGCAAATGGAATACGAAATGGCTCTGTGCAGAACACACCTGAAAGATATAACTTTCATATACAAAATCCAAAAACATACAGAATCACAATGCATGAAAATAACACTAAGCACTCTTATAATTTATGAAGTTATTCACGATCAGCACTGGCACCAAGTGTGCCTTAATTCAATTTTGGTAACAGTTCTATGCTGAACGTTGATAGTAAGTCAGAAGAACCTGGGACACTGATGGCACCATACAAGTGTAATATTTAGACATGCTTTTAACCCTAGAGTGCTTATTAAAATCATTTTTGTAGTCAGTCTGTACATACTAAACAACTTCGGAACTGGTGAGCAAATATTCATGAAATTCCATACTAGGGAGTTTCACTAAACTTTGTCAATACATTCCCACTTCAGTTAAAATCCGGTTTACTGGATCAAAATGTTTTAAAACAAGAGTTGTAGAGAAAAATATACCAGACATTTAATGTACAATATGCCTTTTCTGCAATTCTTACAGTTTTAAAGAAATTAAACGAGAACTCTTACAATATGCACACATTTCCTTGTATATAAATACAGTAAAACTTGGTTATAGCAACATCGGTTTCTGCGACACCTTGTCTATTGCGTCAAATATTCGTATCTAGGTACAGTAAGGCACAACAATTGATGTAATCTACTGTAATTTGGTGAGTAGGCCTACCTTTAATATACAGTATTAGTGTGGTGTGTATTGTCAGTGAAAAGCGCTGTAATATGTCTTTGATATTACACATTTGGGCAATTCCACGTTAATGTTACGTTAGTCTGTACTTAACTACGTATTTCACTAAAAAATGCAACATTTTTAACTCGGTTTTTGGTAGATTTTTACGTGACTAACATAAGGCTACTGTGGAAGTGCCTATTTCGGTTACAACGACATTCGTTTATAACGACACTATTTTTAGGTCCCTTTGATGACGTTATAACCAAGTTCTACTGTAAACAGAAGCTGGGGGTGGACTTGAGTATGTATTTCAACCATTTTCTGGTATGTGTACCCGTTAGAACTAACATTTTTACAAGTCTAATAAATTCTCATTATACCAAGGCTTCACTGTACTTCAATCAATTCTTCACGTTCCTGGCCAGGAGGAGAAAACTTGTAGTTACCTAATTTTGACAGTGATAGTAGAGATGTGTTGACTGCTAGTGACAGTTCTATGGGCAATTCTGGGGGCACAACCGATGTTAGAATGAGTGCACACTCTAGGAACAGCTTATACCTGTTCCTTGTTGGATCTTCAGAGCCTGGAATAGATAATAAAGAATAGTTTTAACCTGATAATCTCTTACAATAATAAAATGTGGTAAAAACTACACTACTTGGGTTGCCAAGCTCTCAGAAATTTTTTAAGTTATAGCTGTATCCATGCAGTTTTGGCAAGCCAGTAAAATTTAAAAGAAGTGCTTTCAGTATATGAATCTGCAGTTGGTGAAACTTTCTGTGGATTTCTCCATCACAGTACAGGGGCATTTTTAAACTTACTGTAGATACAGAGAAGCTATAAAGTTATTTAGGTTCCTGCTGTCACTCAACAGCCTGCGTGAGAACTGCACTTTCTGCTGAACAGTAAATGTGACCCCTCTCCCCAGTCACATTTATGTATTATGTTAGGGGGTCTTGGTGTCACAAAATTTGAAAACTACTACCTTCAGCAGAGAAACATCAAATGGGCACTCCATCTTGCATTCAATCAAGTTTTATGGTATGATGATGAACAAATTTAACTTTACAATATGGAAATGTAACTTTTAGGCATGTGCCAGACTGATTCCTTTAGTTCAACATGGGGACAAGTGGAGTTTTTGGTAAAATTCCTTGAAATGACACAAGAATTTGCTTTAACAGGCCATCTTCTTATTTTGATGATCTATAACTCCAGCAACTTCTTCACTGAGATGTTCTGACATGTTTACAAAACAGGACAGATACTGCACCGATCACTGGACATGCATCATATCCTTAGGAGGACATGACTACAAAGAATGTGACAATGAATCCTTTCCTGAAATGTTATGTAAATGTAACAAATAAACTTCCATCTTTGAGAAGAGACAGTGTGAATTCAGGGCATGATCAGCTAATCAGGATGGATTTGTAGTTTTGTCATTCAGAGTGGGGTAAACAGTATTTAATGAGAGCTGGAATCTTTTCACTGCTCACTGTCTTTTGGAGTACCGATGATGTGCTGTAATGTAATTCTTTGAGTTATCCACGGACCACCGCCTGAGTTCTACCTTGGTGTCTAAATCGTCGACTAACACCCGCCACACAGACCAAACATCTACTTAAAGTAAAGGGTTGTCTTTCTCCACGAGCAGCTAGTTGCTTAAGTGTAGTTACACTACACTGCTTTTTTGGCACAGATGGAAGTTTCCCTTAATTTCTGTATACTTTATGTAATAAATTCACTTAATTTTAATGTTATTTCTTTTGATGTTAAAATATATATGTTGTTAAAGGAATCAACTTGAACTCGTCTTTTCTAGCAGGATTAGGAAACCCTATCAATGGGACTTGAAATTTTCTTTTTCAGGACAGCAGGGCCGTGAACATGTTGTGGGGACTGCTAGAAGGTTACTGGTCCTTGGTCCTTCCTACCTTCCTTAACCATGGATCATAACAATATCAGTGAATTACTGTTTTTTTTTTTCTAACTCGGATGGTACTTCTGAGTAACCTCATGACTGCTGACCTTAAAAACACTTCTATCTCTGACTTTCCCACTTGCTACTTTCACTGCACAACAGTGCAGAATTTGGTATAAAGATGACAAAAGCTTAATTCTTTGACTGGCGTGAAGGGTATTTAAATCCCACCCCTGTCCTGGCAGGCCCTTTAAACCTTATGTCACTAAGATGCATGTGCTTACTTTTTTCTAAACAACTTCAACAAAAATTGGCTTTTAAAAATGAAATTTTCAGGAACTAATAAAAAGAAAATATTTTATCCATGAAATGTCTTTTCATACCTTTTTAGTAGTTTTTCTTCGTGTGATAAACATTGAAACATGAAAGTTTGCAGAGAGCCACACCACAGCTTGCACACATGACACCGGTTTCTTTTCTAATCTTGTGCTTAGCACACACTCGACACTTTCTCATGGCACCATTCTTCTTAATGTTACTGGGAGGAACATGGACCATTTTGTGAAGTTTCAGGCCACCCTCTAGACGATTTTCCGGGTCTTTCACTGGTGGTCTTTTCAAGGTCGCGGGCGGAGGNTTTTAAAAATGAAATTTTCAGGAACTAATAAAAAGAAAATATTTTATCCATGAAATGTCTTTTCATACCTTTTTAGTAGTTTTTCTTCGTGTGATAAACATTGAAACATGAAAGTTTGCAGAGAGCCACACCACAGCTTGCACACATGACACCGGTTTCTTTTCTAATCTTGTGCTTAGCACACACTCGACACTTTCTCATGGCACCATTCTTCTTAATGTTACTGGGAGGAACATGGACCATTTTGTGAAGTTTCAGGCCACCCTCTAGACGATTTTCCGGGTCTTTCACTGGTGGTCTTTTCAAGGTCGCGGGCGGAGGCGTGACCGCACTCGAGTCCGACGCATTAGATTCGTCATCCAACTGATTCCTTGACTCTTCTCCCTCACCACACTATTTGTTTGGTTGTCATTTTTTCTACACGGTCCAATATAAAAATCTTTGAATTTGTAATTTCTCTTCTTGTATTTTTGTGTTGTTGTGTACTTTTTGAATAGAATGAAACTATTCAACGCTGCCATTTGCAACAAGAAAAACACCAGTTTCTTTGTCCGCTTTACAGTTTTGCGGGAACAAGGATAATAATGCAGCATTTGNTGGACCATTTTGTGAAGTTTCAGGCCACCCTCTAGACGATTTTCCGGGTCTTTCACTGGTGGTCTTTTCAAGGTCGCGGGCGGAGGCGTGACCGCACTCGAGTCCGACGCATTAGATTCGTCATCCAACTGATTCCTTGACTCTTCTCCCTCACCACACTATTTGTTTGGTTGTCATTTTTTCTACACGGTCCAATATAAAAATCTTTGAATTTGTAATTTCTCTTCTTGTATTTTTGTGTTGTTGTGTACTTTTTGAATAGAATGAAACTATTCAACGCTGCCATTTGCAACAAGAAAAACACCAGTTTCTTTGTCCGCTTTACAGTTTTGCGGGAACAAGGATAATAATGCAGCATTTGGTCGGCCCTGTCAACCCCTCTCATATGTTTATTGTAGTCCCCAATTACCTCGGGTCTGCATATTTTTTCTCCTTTGCGATTCGTTTTGGCAGATTCCATGATTTTTGCTGTGTGAAGAGTGGAGATAAGTTTGACGTCTCTTTTATCTCTCCACACCTGTATGAGAACCTGCCCCTTCCTAGAAAACACAGATTCCCCTTTTTTCAAATTTTTTACATCATTCTTTAGTTCCTTGGGAGCTCCTCTGTCCATTCTGAAGGTTCCACACACATAGGTATTTCTCTGTAATAACGTCTCACACAATTCTACACTATTGTAATAGCTATCCTGGTAGAGACGATACCCTTTATCTAGAAGCTGTGGCCCCAACAGATCGACAACTAATTCTTTTATAGGTCTTGATTTTCCGCAATAAATTTCAAAATTCAAAATATATCCACTTGTCGATTCACAAACAAGATAAGCCTTTATACCGTACTTATCAGGTTTATCAGGCATATATACTCGGAAGATAAGACGTCCT